TCCATTAAAAAGCAGAGTAGGTAGGGAGAGTCTTGACTGATTTACAAACGTTACAAAACGTATAAGTAAAAAATAGTTTTAAATTTGGTTAGGAAAATCGGCTTCACATTTCGCCTCGTAGGCTTCCTTAGGGAAAAACTACCTCACAACATATCATTAGAACCTATTTTATACGCCACATGTTAACACACACACACACACACACACGAGCGCGCGGACGCGACTACTTTCTCGAGAGGAATTATTTCCTGACAATCGATTCAGGACTTTAGCATTTCACACTATTAGTATTTCAATTTAAAAAACTATAGACCTATGTTTGAAAACAATAGATGAACATCGCTGCAAAACGATTAAATTTTGATGTGTTATTGTGACTGCTACGCGCGATCGAAAAAAGATGAACGTTCAGTTTTTAGCATTGTTGTTAAATTGAAAGTAGAAGCTGTTAACAGGGTTAAAGGAGGGGTTGTATAAAAGAGTATTTTAAATAGATGTGGACAAAAGTTACGAAACAGACAGTATTCGACCTACAGGGTGACAAGATAGCCTATGGTTGCTGTGGAGAGAGACAAATTTAGATATAATATGCAGCCGGGAAAACCCCGCGACATAGTGTTGAAAAGGGTGATCAATCCTGTATTTGTTTCGAGGATTTTCCGTATTAGTTCTGTCTTCTCGTTGAAGAGAAGCAATTACTTTCTCGAAGCTCTGTAAGTTAACATCGAGGTAACAAGGATTTTCCGTATAAATGTTCGTCTTTATGTTGAAAAACAGAGATTATTTTCTTTAAACTGTGTAAATTAACAAGATTGCAAGGATTTTCCGTATAAGAGTGCGTTTTTTCGTTGAGGAACATGGAACATTTTTAAAAGGTGGGCCTAAGTGTTTTTACGCCCCCTTCGACACAATTAAGATCATTCTGGAGGTGGGCTTGCGATACTGCCAGTCTGGGCCAACCTGGGCTGAGAGGGGTACAACATCACGACAAAAAGACGGAGATACGCAATAAAGAGTTTCTCCCCTTTCGGGGATCGAACTGGGGTCGGGGACTCTCGTGGTCTAGAGGTGAAAGTGTTCGCCTTTCATTCAATAGGTCCCGAGTTCGTTTTTGGATAGCGACCCGGCTCTCGTGGTCAATAGGTTAAGGTATTCGCCTCTCATTCAATAGGTCCCAGGTTCGAATCCGGATAGCGACGGAAAAATTTCATTTCTAAAATGTTCTCCTTTGACATCCTTTCCTGGCTGCTCTTTAACGTCCTGTCGTCTGCCTTCGTCTCCACTTCCCCCCCCCCCCCCCCCCCACCCCATCCCATCCCCCTCCTTTCAGCTCTCCTCTGAGCTCCTGACTCTGTCTGCAGCCTTTCCACTGCTACTCCTGGGCTCCTTCTTACTGCTGTCTTTCAGCTACACCCCTGATCTTATGGTAGAAAAGGATCTACACTTAGTCCTCTCAGATAAGGGCCAAAAAATCTCGGAGGTCCCGTGCGCAGGTTGTGCACGTTAAAGATCCCTTTGTGGTCCAAAATCGAGTAGTCTTCGCCACCGCCACACCGGCTAAATTCATAATTTTCCTACCAACTGAAAGTGTTAAATGTGCCCCATGCGCTCATATGACCCTATGCAGTTGCGAGCGCCGTAAAACACTTTTTATAGAAAGAAAAAAAAAACACTCGGATCTCCTGCCTGCAACAGCGAATTGTCTAACTTAGTAACTGTGTACACCACAGACGCAGATGAATACTTTCCGTACAGTGTGTACATCAAGCTTACGTCCAGAACAGTGGTGTGTTTTATGCGGTTATATTCACGAGTGTTCACAGAGCTCGGGGTCATGCCGTTACACCTGGTTTGGGAAGAATAGAACCTAGACCGGAACGATCTGATCTCTCTGAAATTTAGTGCATGGCCCTACAGTTCAGCTGACTTGACTCTCAGTACATGTATCAGCCGGTCCGGGTGTTTACATTCATGACAAAAATCTACCAAACCTAAGCAAATTAATCTTTTACAGTATTCAAAATGTACTGGTTGGATCGTTCATTTCTTCTGAGTTTAATGTTTATTTTATACAAATACATAGCCGGATGTTTACAGCCATTACAAAAATCTACCAAACCAAAGCAAATTCGTCTTTTGCAGAATGCAAACTGTATACTGGTTGGATCAATGTCTGAGACTCAGAATGCCAACGAAAGAGCGTTGCCCTGAGTGTTTGTTGTTTGTTTTCGTTTGTTTATTATTTATTCATTTATTTATTATTCATTTATTTATTTTACTTTTTATTCCCGTTCGAAGAATGGGTTCATCTGCTGCTAATACATTTAATGGGGGCTGAGTTATGGTGGAGTTTATGATGCTGAAATGTTAGATGACAAATTTGTCTGCGAAGGCTGGGACGTTGCATTAAGAGAGCGACGGCGACCTCATTACATTGTATCACAATAAAAAGAGTAATCTAGTTTCGTTGGCGCATTAGATTAGTATTGTACTTGTAAAACAAACCGCACGTCGTAATGCACATTATCATTATTATTATTATTATTATTATTATTATTATTATCATTATTATT